CGGTGGTATTTAATTTTTTTTTTAAAAAGAACTGATAATTAATGGCTCAAAAATTATTTAATAATGAGAGAAAAAAATTAATAAAAAAGGGAACTTGTTCCAACATATAGACATGAAAAGGATTCTTTTTTTTTGCAAATTGCTAATTAAAGGATTACCGTTTTTTTTTTAAAAAAAAAAAAAAGAGAATCAAATAAATATTAAGTATCACTAATTAACGATAACAACAAAAAGAAAAAGGAATTTTACATATATATATATATATATATATATATATATATATATATATATATAAAGAATAATGACTAAGCCCCTTTTAAACCAAGTAGTGATATAAATTTTTATTTTTAATTTTTTTTATATAATTTTAGAAAATGATCACTTTAGTAAAATTTTCAGTTTTACACAAGATGGTCATATGCTCTTTTGAAAGAAAATTGCAAAAATAGCCAATTTTATCTAATAGTTAAATTACTAATTAAAAGTAGCTAATTTTGTATTTTTATTTCAATAATCATGTCATATATTTATTTAAGAGAAAGAAAAACAGAATTTATGAAATGATCAAATTTACATTTTTTACAAAAATGACCAGATTTACATTTTATTTTATTTTAAGCAAAAAACAGCCCTGTTTTTTCTTAAAATGACCAAAAAACTAAAATAAATAAAAAATAGACTTTGAGATTGTTGTTTTTTTTTTTTAGCAAAAACATGAGTTATGTATCGACTTCATAATGACAAATATAGAATTAACATCTAGTTTAATAATAGAACACAAATAAATAATAACAACAAAACATAATTTAACTAATTCCAATAAAGTTACGTATCACTTCATAATAATAAAGATAGAATTAACACCTAGTTTAATAATAAAACACAAATATACAATAACAACGAAACATAATCATATTAAGTATCATAACACATTTAACTAATTCAAATAAACTAAACATAATAATTTAATCAAAAATATAAACATGTTTCATTATTTTTTGAAGTTACATTGCAAAAAGTAAGGAAAGAGATATACCTAAAAAGATGATGACAAAACAATGATGAAAGCAAAACTTAATTGAACTCCCAAAGACCACCAAAGATGAAATATATATATATTTTTTTTTTCTTTTAGAAGTTATGATTTTCCCTCTTCTAATTTTATGTTCTTGTTCCTTTTTTTTTTCTTTTTCTTCCCCTTTAAAATGAAAGAAGAATGGGGTTTAAATAGGTGTTCAGCATTAAACCCCCCACTCTTCTTGAAAACTTAAGAGCCAATGCATGCATTGGACCCTTTGTTTTCCCAAGGTGCCACCCAAGATGACCAATGGAATTTCGTCTTTTCTTTTTTCTTTTTCTTTTTCCAAGATAAAATTAATTAAAAGACTGCATTGCCCTTTTAGATGACCCATTTCTATTATTCATTAATTGAATAATAGTTAAATGGGTCATCTGAAAATTTAAAATAAGCCCAAAATGCCATTTTAGATGACCCATTTTTTTATTCATTAATTGAATAATAGCTAAATGGGTCATCTGAAGAAAAAAAATTAAAATAGGCCCAAAATTGATCAAGACCCAAAAATCAAAAGAAAATCAGCCCACTAACAAAAAATTTGAACATCTAAACTATTTTGAAGATCAAACACAACAAATAAGGCAGATAAAAATAAAATAAAAATGAAAATAAAAACGAAATAAAAAAAAAGCAACAACCTCAACATGATAAAACTTGAAGAACACTAACAAAACAATACAGATCCGACAACAAAATGACTTATATGATTTTTAAAAAATGTGAAAATGACGGATTTGTATAGAGGATGAGAGGGGGAAATGATTGACATAAATTTTCGGATGAATGGAGGTCGCCGGAAAACTCCGCCGGAACATTTGTTGATGGATTTTGGACATAAACTTTACATCAAAGGATAGCCCTTGAAGAGCTCTACACTTTTATGTAAAGGATATAGAACGGGGATGACCGAAACTTCGTAAATCTAAAGAAAAGGTGAAGATTTATGTTTGATTTTTCTTAGATCTACGGAGTTTTGCTATGGATATGAACGAATGGTTTGCGGATTTGTGTAGAGGAGGGTTAAAGGAAGAAATGGTAAAATTTTGGAGATTTTTCCGGCCAAGGGGTAGTGGCCGCCGGCAGCAGTGGCTGTGGCCGGCCGGCGGCAATGGCGGCGGTGGCGGTGGCCGACCGGTGGCAGGTGGAAGCAAAGGGGAGAACAAAAAATAAAAAATGCCAATAAAAATTTGATTTTTGGGGTTTTGTATTTTTGGTAGGGTCCCATAAGAACCCTTGGATCAAAAAATCATGGATGGTTGAGATTTAATCTTGACCATTTCTATTGGACCGGGTCAAAATTGATTGGGCAATCAGAATTTTATCTAAATCAACCCAATTCAATCAAAAATTAGGTCATTTGGATCAATTAAAAAATAATATAAACAAAGACAAACTACCTAAAATACAAAACAAAAAATATAAGAAAAAAAAAAACCTTACTATATATTGTAGGAGTAAAAGAAACACATCAAAAATTAGGTGTTCACAGCATGCCCCTTTTTGCTTGGAAACATGAAGAGTTTTCAAGCAAAGAAAGTGAACGAAGTGGCTAATTTTTTACTGTTTCAAACTCCATGAAGCCATTTTAAAAAAGATGACCGAACCTTGCTTCAGGGGTTGCCTACATATCCTTGACTAAAAGGAAATCAGGTCAGTGTAGTTCGAGAAACATTGATAGATGAAACTATTAGAAATTGCGGTCAAAAGATTGCTTCACATTGCTTGTCATCATTTACTGTCTATAATTACAAAGAAAAGAGCTAGAGAACTATGCCTCTCCACATTATAAGAGTTACAAGATCCCTACTTGATGTTTTTTTTTAGGGTCTCTTCTTGATCTTTGACTTGCTCTGTGAGTTATCTTTGATATTGATCTTCATGCTCTCTTGGGAGCTGGTGGATCATTCTCAGGTGCATGTTTTAACTTGAGTTGGCGGTTGAAACTCAAAACTCAAGATCACAAAATGAAGAACCCAAAAAGGATGTGTTTCTTTTCGGGAAGAAAAAAAAAGAATCTTGAACTACTAGGATGTATAACCCTAGAAAGAAAAGGAGAAATAGGGTGTGTTGCCCTGAGAATTCTCAATAAGACGTATTGTCTTTATGGATTGTCCTAAGATTGGGTGTATCCCCAAAAACGTGAATATGGCATGTATAACCCATGAATGCTAGTGCGTATTGCCCAGGATATGCATATGGTGCGTATTGCCCATGAATAGAGAATTGATGCATATTGCATGTGAATAAGGACTGGTGTGTACTGTACATGGAAGAAGACTAGTGTGTTTTGCACATGAATGCAATATCGATATGTATTACATGTGATTTGGATTGGTACGTCTTGCTCATGAAAGAAAGACTGGTACGTTTCGCACGTGATTAAGGACGAATGCGTATTTGCACGGAATACAGATTGGTGCATATTGCACGAAATTCAGACTGGTGCGTATTGCAAGTGAATAAAGAAGGGTGCGTATTACACATAAATAAGGGACGTGTGCGTATAGCACGGAATTTAGAGTGGTGCGTATTGCCCGAAGCTCTCGAATTGAGAGGCAAGAATATGAATAGCATGAGATGAAACAACAAACATGTGAAGACTTTGGAGGACTTCCCTTTTGTGATGTTTTATTTTTTACTTATAATTCCACATTTTCTTTTATTCCTGTGTTGAGCAAAAGAATGAGAAAATTGTTAGTTTAAAGTGGTGGTTGGTTTGTGGCCTTGATGCTCCGATGACTTGACCATAGTCCTGACCAATTTCTCCAACTCTACTCCAAATTCTTGGTTGAACAACCTTTGAAGCTCCATCTTTGTCAATTCAGGGGCCTTGATCTTTTTGGTACTACCAAATATCATGGTGCGACTGACATTTCAAAGGATGAATTTTTCTTTGGAATATTTTTTATGACTTAAGAGACTATATAATGTTCCTTCACGAGTTTTCAGTGAAGATATAAAGCGTTTTTAGTCCTTGCTCGATGGCATGTCAACTCGGATACTCAGCTTTACTTTTGGGAACCCGTAGTAGGCTTTACAATCTTTTACCTTATTTTGTCAAGAGATTATACCGAAAAGACTATAAAAATATCAGACTTAATTGTGTGAAAGATTGGATTAAGAAAGACTATAAACTTAAGGAAGGGCATTCCCTTTTGAAGAAAAAATGAGAAAGAGAACTTATCTGGAGGCATATGTCGACTTTGAGTGAACCATGACATGCACTTTGGACTTCACCCTGGATCCGCTTAAGTTGTCTAATTCTCAAAATCTGAACCATTATCAATTTATAACTGATCTATGTATTCTTCATGTAGAGGTATCGAGAAATGGTGATCTTTGCAAATTTCTCCCAACTAGTCATTTTCATGATGTTCTCTTTTTTTATCGTAAGGTGCCCCGCAAGGGATTTCACCGATAAGATTTTCTCTATTGTCGTCTTATGGTGCTTATAAAGGTTTTCATCGATAAGGCTTTCTTTTTCTTCTTTTTTTTTCTTTTTTTTTTTGACTCGACAAAGTTGTCTTTGATGATCAATTGTCCATGCAAGACACATCGAATCATCGTTCTCAAAGTTGATCAAAATGTTGGTTGCTAGAATAAAATCAAAAATGGAATCAATTGGACTTTACTCTATCAAAAAAGAAAAAAAATGCCCCAGTTTTCTATAGATACTGGAATATTGATTATTTTTTTGGTATGACCGAACCCCAAAGGGTTGCCTACGTATCCTTTCAGAATCAGGTCAAACGTAGTTCAAATTTTCAAAGAGAGGTTTTTTTTTTGAAAGAGATGCCTTTGTTCTCTCAGCCACAAACTTGTCACAGTATCTTAGACCGCATTAGATGTAGTATCTTTTGACTGCGTCTACATTAACAATTATGCCTGTGATTTTTCCCTCCATATCAGTAAGGTGTAAGGCTCATTTGGACAACATTTCCTTGATAAGATATGGACCTTGCCAATTTGGGGGAAACTTTCCCTTGGCCTCTTCTTGGTGAGGGAGAATGCGCTTTAAGACCAGTTGACCTACTTCAAAGTGTCTTGGGTGCACCTTTTTGTTGTATGCACCAGCCATCCTTTGCTGATAAAGCTGACCAAAACAGACGGCCGTCAATCGCTTCTCATCTATTAATGTAAGTTTCTCTAGTCTGGTTTTGACCCATTCAGTATCTTCAATTTCAGCCTCGACAATAATTTGAAGAGATGGAATTTCAACTTCCGCTGGTAGCACAGCTTCAGTCCCATACACCAGCAAATAAGGAGTTGCACCAATCGAGGTGCGCACTGCTGTGCGATATCTTAAAAGTGCAAAAGGCAGCTTCTCATGCCATTGTCTAGTGCCTTGAACCATTTTCCTGAGAATCTTTTTGATATTCTTGTTGGCTGCCTCCACAGCTCCGTTGGCCTTTGGTCGGTATGGAGTAGAATTGTGATGCACAATTTTGAACTGCTCACATACCTCCTTCATCAAATTGCTATTAAGGTTTGCAACATTATCTGTGATGATAGTTCTTGGGATACCAAAACGACAAATGATGTTTGAATGGACAAAATCCACGACCGCCTTCTTAGTGACTACCTTGAAAGTGATTGCCTCCACCCATTTAGTAAAGTAATCGACTACGACCAAAATAAATCGATGTCCATTAGAAGCTTTTGGCTCAATTGGTCCGATGACATCCATTCCCCATGCAACAAAGGGCCAAGGAGCGGCCATGAGGTGCAACTCTGAAGGAGGTGAATGAATGAGATCACCATGAATTTGACACTGATGACATTTTTTTCACAAAGTGAAGGTAATCCCGTTCCATGGTAAGCCAGTAATATCCTACTTGGAGTATCTTTTTCGCAAGGACATATCCATTCATGTGTGGTCCACATACCCCAGCATGTACTTCATTCATGATCTTCTCGGCTTCTTCAACATCCACACATCTCAATAAGTTCAGATCCGGGGTGCATTTATATAAATTTCCCCGCTCAAAAAAGAAACCACTAGCCAGACGTCTAATAGTTCTTTTTTGGCTTCCATTGGCATGTTCGGGACATTTCCCTGTTTGCAAGAAATTCCTGATGTCTAGGTACCACGGCTCACCATCTGATTCTGCTTCCACAGTGTTACAATAGTCATGTTGGTCCCGAAGTTGAATCTCCAAGGGAGTAATACAAGTGTTTCCAGAATATGGAAGCATTGAGGCCTAAGTAGCCAAGGCATCTGCCAACTCATTATGAAATCTGGGGATGTATCTAAACTCAATGGACCTAAACCTTTTGCTAAGATCTTCCACACATTGTTTGTAGGGAAGAAGCTTGAGGTCTCGAGTTTTCCATTCGCCTTGAGCTTGCCTAATAAGCAAATCAGAATCTCCCAACACAATCAATTCTTGCACACCCAAATATATTGTCATATTTAGACCCATGATGCAAGCTTCATACTCTGTTGTGTTATTGTACAGAAGAAACGAAGTCGAGTTGTTGTTGTTGTCCTGTGGGCGATATGAGAATTGCCCCAATCCCTTTGCCTTTTTTGTTAATTGCTCCATCAAAGTATAATTACCAAGCCTGATTTTCATCTGGATCTACTTCTTCAACTGAGTTAATCTCTTCATCTGGAAAATATGTATCCAGTGGTTCGTAGTCGCCATCGACTAGATTCTCTACCAAGTCAGCTGCCAGAGCTTGAGCTTTCATTGCAGTTCTAGTGACATATATAATGTCAAATTCAGTGAGCAAGATTTGCCATTTTGCGAGTCTGCCAGTTGGCATTGGCTTCTGAAAGATGTACTTCAAAGGATCCATCCTAGATATGAGGTAAGTTGTGTAGGACAAAAGGTAATGCCTTAACTTTTGAGCTACCCAAGTTAGGGCGTAACATGTCATTTCCAAGAGGGTGTACCTGACCTCATAACTAGTGAATTCCTTGCTCAATTAGTAGATAGCTTGCTCCTTCCTGCCTATGGAATTGTGTTGACCGAGAACGCACCCAAAGTACTTATCTGTCACTGAAAGATATAGAAAGAGAGGCTTATCAAGTTCAGGCGAGACCAATACGGGAGGTTTGGACTAATATTCCTTGATTTTTTCAAAAGATTGATGACAATCCTCCGTCCATCTGACAGCAGCATCCTTTTTAAAAAGTCTGAAAATGGGCTCACAAGTGGTTGTGAGTTGAGCAATAAACCTGCTAATGTAGTTCAACCTCCCAAGTATACTCATGACTTCGGTCTTATTTTTCGGGGGTGACAAATCTCGAATGGCTTTTATTTTGGAAGGATCCAATTTGATTCCCCTTCTACTGACAATAAAACCCATAATTTTTCCAGATGGAACTCCAAATGCACATTTTGCTGGATTAAGCTTGAGATCATATCTTCACACTCTTTCGAAGAATTTTCTCAGATCTTGCACATGGTCAGCTTGTGTTTTAGACTTGATGATTACGTCATCGACGTATACTTCAATTTCTTTATGCATCATATCATGAAACATGGTGGTCATAGCCCTCATGTAAGTTGCTCCAGCATTTTTAAGACCGAATAGCATGACCCTATAGCAATAAGTCCCCCATGGAGTAGTGAAACCAGTTTTTTCAGCGTCCTCTTCGTCCATCAAGATTTGATGATACCCCGCATAGCAGTCCACAAAAGATTGAATTTCGTGTCTGGCACAATTATCAACTAAAATGTGGATATTAGGCAAGGGAAAGTTGTCTTTTGGACTAGCTTTGTTCAAATCCCGATAGTCAACACAAACTATTGTCTTTCCATCCTTTTTCGGCACAGGAACAACATTTTCCAACCAAGTAGTGTAACGAATGGTTTGGATCACATTTGCATTTAGTTGTTTCATGATTTCTTCCTTGATTTTTTCACTCACGTCCGGTTTGAATTTTCTTCTTTTTTGTTGGACGGGTGGAAAATCAGGATGAGTGGGCAACTTATGGACCACTAAATCAACACTCAAACTTGGCATGTCATCATAGGACCAAGCAAACACATCTTTGTATTCAAACAAAAGTTGTATTATGGCATCCCTACTTTCCTTCTTGACATGAAGACTTATTTTTATTTCTTTGACTTCCTCATTACTTCCCAAATTGATGGCATCAGTTTCACTAAGATTAGGCTTAGGTTTGTGCTCAAACTGTTCCAATTCCCTATTAATTTCTCTAAAAGCATCTTCTTCATCATATTCAACCTCTCGACTCGGTGATTCAAGAATAAACAACTCCTTGAGATCTGGGAGTGAATTCTGTATGCATGTCATGTTATCAAAGCCGGCATTCACAGAACTGAAAAATGGAGAATAAGAATTAAGGGAGGGGAAAAGACAAAATTTTACTATGAAACAGGAATTTCATTTCATTAAAGTAAAAAAGGATAGAAGGGTTGACATTAATATAGAATACTTTCAAACTTTCGGATCACAACCCTGACAAAAACAAAATACAAAAGAGTAGCAAAACAAATTACCAAGACTCCTTTCTTATGGGGAAAGGAGTGGCTTCCCAATTGCTTAGCTCAACACCTGAGCCCACGAGCTGCACATCGGCATTACTTGTACCTTCACCAACTTGAACCATGTTTACTTCACAAAACAACTAGCTGAGATCCTGAATAACTTCTTCAATGTCTTTATGAGTAAAGGAAGCTTCCATTTCTGGTCCCTGAGGCATAATAAAGGAATGAGAAATATGGGGAATCGGTTGTGGCAATGCCCAATCAGTCCTTTTGTGGTTCTTAGTCTCATCTCTATTCCTCTTGCTTTGTTTGTATCCGAGGCCAGAGGTGCCTTGGTTCCCTAAAAGAGTAATGGGATCCACAATTCCTTGCAAACATAGTCCCAAACCTTTACCAAGTTGATAACCATATTTGAGCATTGTCGTTGCTACCATTGAAGAGGAAGAAGATATACATGGTTGGATAATGGGGTCTCCTTCTCTAAAGCGATCGACTGATACGGCCTCAAAAGACTGGTAAACAATGGAATCACATTCTTCTTTTGCCTCAATGTATAGAATGGAGGGATCTCTGTAAATAGGTAAATCATCTTCTCCATGCACAATGATTTTCTGATTGTTGTGCTCAAACTTTACAACTTGATGTAGAGTTGATGGGACTACCCGAGCCATGTAGATCCATGGCCTTCCTAATAGAAAATTATAAGATGTGTCCATGTCCATTACTTGGAACACAATCATAAAGTCTACCGGTCCAATTGTCATGTTTAACTTGATTTCACCAATGGTATCCCGCCTTGAGCCATTATAAGCTCGAACAAATACATTGCTGGTGCAAATTCTGTCAAGGCTAATTCACATGTTTTGCAGCGTGCAGAGAGGACATATGTCTACCCCTGATCCCCCATCTATCATGACCCTCTTTACATAGTACCCTTCACATTTCACTGTAAGAAGCAAAGCTCTGTTGTGTTCGGCTCCCTCCATGGGCAACTCATCATCAGTTAAAGTGATGGTGTTTGACTCAAAGATGCGCTTAACCATTTTCGCTAACTGATTTGTCGTGGTCCCCTTCGATACATGTGCTTCATTCAAAATCTTACTCAACACACGTCGATGTTCTTCTAAGTGCAAGAGTAGAGACAACAATGAAATCTGTGCAGGAGTTTTCTTCAATTGTTCCACAACAGAGTAATCTGGAACCTTAATCTTTTTAGAAACTCTTCTGCTTCTTCCTCAGTAACTGCTTTCTTCAATGGTACTTGGATGTTTTGAGTCATCTTCTATTTTCTTAATTCTTCTGGAGAATAGCATCTTCTAGAGCGTGTCAGCTCTCCTGCTTCATCAACCTCTTCAACAATCTCCTTTCCTCGGTAAACCACAGCGATTTTATTATAGTTCCATGGGACGGCCTTTGAATTAGTTACCAAAAGTTGTTGGACGAGCTTAACACAAATAGGTCCTTTCAACTTCGCTAAAAAATTTTGGTCATGTTGTGTTAATAAAAAAACCCTTTGATACATACAACTTCGGCATACCTGCTCGAACTTCAATCCCCTTCGAAACCCTCGGGACACACAAACCTTTGGTATCAAGGTTGACACATTCCACACTCAAAGATGCAACTGGTTCTAAACTCTTTATCGGCTTGTTTTCCTCTCCGATCTTCCTAAACAACTTTCCCATTTTGCCAAGGAGTTTGTACTCTTGATCATCGCAGATCATACCCACTAAATTGTTTTGAGCTGGAAGTGGGTTATTAGCCATATTTGGTGTGTTTTGATCATCTGTCACAACGACCACTCCATGATCGATTAGCTTCTCTATCGCCCCCTTCAAGGTCCAACAATTATCAGTGATGTGTCATGGTGCCCCTGAATGATACTCACATCTTTCATTGGATTGGAAACCTGGAGCAGTTGGATTCAGACGATGTGGTGGGATAGACCCATTCACTCCTATCTTTCTTAACTTTTGAAACAAGCTGGAGTATGACTCTCCCAATGGAGTGAATTTCCTTTTCTGTCCCTGCTCTTGAGCATAATTTTGCATAGGAGTAGGGTTGTAAGGGACCTGAAAGGGTGGTCGTTGTGGGCGAAGGTTTCCTTGAGTTAGGCCCAGAAAATGTGGGCAATTGGGAGAATGCACATATAACTGAGCATTGAAGACCGTGTATGAAGATGGAGATACTGGATATTGAGGGACATAAGGGTAGTAATGTTGAGGATAGCTAGATTGTCCCTGAAGTGGTGGGTAAG